TTTAGTAAGTATGATAGTAAATCTTTTAAACTTTTTGATCATACTGGTAGCTCCATCTTAGGCATAATGTACACTTGGTAATTGCTTGAATAGTTATTATAAAAAAAAACATTATTTTCAATAGTACACAAGTTCTACACACAACCAAGAGACTTTGTTGTTATACATGTGACTGCTGCTGAATATATTGATGAAAATTTTAGAACATATATTAATGCAATTACCAAGTGTACATTATGCCTAAGATGGAGCTACCAGTATGATCAAAAAGTTTAGATGATTTGCTATCATAATTACTAAATCCATATTGCTATGTGAGGGAAATCGACTTGTATCGCAATAATAAATTATGTTATGTATTCAGTTCAAGCAAAAATAGTTAAAACTTCAAGGTCTGCTGGTGAATCAGGCAAAGCCCATAGTCTTGTTGCAATGTTTTCTATTGAAAGGTCTTCATTAAACTGATCGTTTACATGTTGGATAGTCACGTAGATATTACAGCCACAATCTAGGAGTGTACCAATAAATGGTAATATATCTTGATGGTGAATAGGCTGATGACACATTGGATATTTGGAATCAATTTTAAAAAAATAATCTTTTGTCAAACGAAATCGACGTATACAGTAATAATGATAACCTTCTTGGACAAGGAAAGCTTGAATATTTTGAGTATTCGAGAAAATTAGACTCCGAATAGGACAATCAATGTTTTCTATTTTATGAAATTTTATGAGGTCGATATTTAACACATTGCGAAGAGCAGCTTCTAAAATTTGGATATCATAATCGCCAGTGTTTTCATAATAGTAATCTGTAGTTTGTATGAATTCTCCATTTCGACATATTTGTTCAGAAGCTACTATGTTTTGAGCAACATTTATTAAATAGTCGTCACTAAATATATCAAGATTTTGTGAAAGTGCACGAAGAGCATGTCGTCCACAATAATTTTTCTCTTGATTTTCACAGATAATAATACTCTCAGGCTTTTTTAGAGATAAACTTGTACATAAATTCGAGTTTTTACGTTTTATTCGTTTGACATCACCATGATCTAAAGTAGATGTGTTTATTTCTTTAGATGGCATTGATGACAACTGATTAATGTTAGATAAGTGTGGTAGACACCACTCGATGAATCTCTGTAAAAATATACGAACATATTTCCATAATGAGAATAAGAATTGTGACCTTAGTTCCTAAATATTGTTCAATCTTGATTGGATATTCTTCCTCTATTTTTTGTAGACGATGCATTTCTTTTAATGCTGGTTTGGATACCTATTATGCTATTATATGTTGATAAATACGGAAGTAATATATACTACTTTGAAAGATTTGCGATCATATGCCAATATTATAATATCACTTAATTTTCGTGTACGACTGAGAATTGTATAGAACATACCAGGCTTCCAGTTTATACCAGTAAGATCAACAACTAGCTTATTATAGGTCATACATTGTGAACGATGAACTGTTATTGCATAACCAAGATTCAGTGGAAATTGTCGTCTTGTCATCCAAACTCCATTTTTATCTTTAAAACTGACTTCTTCTGGAAGCATTTTGTAAATTGATTCATCGAGCAATTCTTTATAAAACATAGATAGGATCAAGTTAAATAATATTTTTAGTATTCATTACTGAGTTCAATATATTTAGGTAATGTTGTAGTTATTGCTCGATCTAGATTCGGAAATATACATCGGTGAGACATCGGTAATATAATATGATCACTGTTGTCCCACACAATATCGTTTACAGTTGCTTCAGTCCCGTTTACCATTGAACCATCGAAATCAATATTTCGTCGACAAATTACACGAGCACCTATACATATTGGTAGTTGTTCAAACATAGATCCACATTCGTTTTCATCTTCAGAAGGTTTTAAAGCAATTTTGCATTGTTTGTTACTGGCTTGAATTGGATTGAAAAATGATGATCTAGCCATACCAACTTTCTAAATATAGTTGTTAACATTGACAATTATTTCTTTAAATAGTTATAACTAACATCGATAGATTCAATAATCCATATTGGTGTTTTTAGTTTCATGGCTATTTCTTTTAATTTAATAGAATTTCTGTGATTTGTCTTAGATCGTACGCTATATGCATAGATAGTATTCTCAAACTCAATTGATTGTAATTCAGATAATCTTTCTTTGTAGTATTGTGGATTGTCTTCTTTTCGAATACTTCTGTTCTTTATTTGCACTTCATCTTCTTCATTGTACTCACCTGGAATAGATTATACTGTCATATTTTGTGATTAATAAGTAGAAATATACCTAATCTCATTCGACACAGAATGTCAAAAAAATTTCTGTCTTCACCTTGTCGCATATTGATATTGAAATTGATTGGTCTGAATAAATGAGACCAAAGAGAAAAAATTTCACCAGCAGGTGCCCAAAAAATTTGTTTCGCTGCAACTGGCTCACATTGAGCCAAATCTCCAAATAATAAAACTGAAATGTTTCCAAAATAAACATCACTTTTGTCGGCCGTTTCAAATATTTCATTTAAACGTTTGTTGACTTTTTGAAAGAGGCTGTTTGAGACCAGTGAAATTTCATCAATAATTATTAAAATTAAATCACCAAGTCTGTCTCGAAGTGAATGTATTTTAAATGACGGAGCAGCATTCGGTGTTGAAGTATTATCAGGACGCTATATATTGATTGCATGAGACAATTTAGAATATGAAAGATAGTAATACATTACCATTCCGAGAGCAGAATGAATAGTCCAACCGAGTATATTCAAAGCAGCTTTGCCAGTGTGAGCCATTTTAAGTAATCCTTTTCTTCTACGTGGACGATTTCGAACAGCAGATTCACTAATGCAAAAGTCCGTTAACATTTGTTCAATGATAGATATGACATAAGATTTTCCTGAACCAGCTAAACCATTTACTATTATGTGAAAAGGAAGTGGTTTTGATACATTTTTTCGTCGAGTTTGACTTTCTTCGTATATCATTAATGCGGCAAGATATTGTTTAAAAAATTTTGCTAAAAACTGTTGTTGTGTGTTGGCTGTTTTTAGTAATTCTTCTGTTTTTGTGGAATGAGCATTCATTTCGATGTCATTATTTAAATATGTATATTTTTTATCTTCTTCAGTGATGTTTTCAGGTAGAATATGATTACTGGTATCAGTAGTATAATTAGTAAAGTTGCTTTTATTTATCTGTTGACTATTTGTATTTGTTTCATCGTCAATATTTTCTTCATCTTCTGTTGTAAATATAAATGATGTTCTTGGCTTTATTAAAAAATCATGAGTATTCAAATCACATAAATGGTCAAGTGCATTAATCATTTGCACTTTGTATGCTCCTGGTAATGTAGAAAATTGCTGAACTAATTGAGCTTTATATTTTAGTAAGATTTGATGAATAGCTTTTATGTCAACCTCTTGAAAATTAATGTAAAAATTTAGGATACATTTATGTTTAAGATTTATTGAATATACCTTGTTTACCACTAAGAAATTGTTCAATTGGATCTCGATATGATACTCCAATAGAAAGAATCGAATAAATAGCTAACATGGAATCATCATAACGACAAGTAAAACTAATACATGCTGGTTCTTTGTGTTGAATTAGTTTGGTGCCACATGATAAAATGATACGAGGAAGATGATTCGATGTTTTAAGTAAAGGTGGTTGATCAAAAGTGGTACGCCAAAGAGGATTTTCCACGAGTGATTCTTGTAATATATGTTCGAGTTCGATAGAAGAAGATCGATCAAAATCAAACCATGTTAGAAATTCAAATAAACTTATTTGATCAATAACAGACGGAGTACATGGCCGTTTGACATATCGATGTGTAAGTGACTCTACAAAGTCATCTGTAGTACTAACCACAGTTCGTCCTCGTTTCAGTATTCTTTCTTCGTCCCATGGCAAAGAAATATATAAAGTTTTACATCTGATTGATGAATGATAAAGAGGGATGCCTATAAGTTAAGTGTAATTGATAAATTTATGAAGTATTCATTGACATACCTAATACGGTCCATGACGCTTCGACTTTACCAACTTGACGATGAGATAATACGGCATTACCTGTTTTAAGAAGAAGAGTTTTCGCTTCAGTTAAACTTGAACAAGTACAGTTTGACATTTGATAGATCAAATTTTTTTCCATGTGGGCATCCTTTGCTACATAAGAAAATAAATATTCAGCTGACGCCCACGGATCAGTTACGACTTGAATATCATGATTACAACGAAATGTTTTCAGAAATTGTAGATTGTATGGAACTATTCGTCTAGACTAAAAAAAGAGTGAGAAATAATTTGAATGAAAGGATCAAAGAAGGCAATAGTTATGGAACTAAACTGATGTAAAAATTATATGTACCTCTTCGGTTAATCTTTTCATTATAATGTCCCGATCACCTCGTATCATTATACGGGCCTCTTTGTACGTACGAAAGTGTGTTTCATTAGCTAATTCAAAAGGACTTCCAAAACGACACATTAATCGCTCAAAAAATTCTTTTTTTTCTTTTGCTAATTGTAAAAGATCAGGATCGTTCTTCGGATCCACTTGTTCATATATTTCGTTTTGATGTAAATAATTCTTATTGATATCTTTCATATGATTTTGATTGTTGTGTTCTGATTCTGTTTCATCTTTGAATTTACGCCCTCGGCGAATACGAATTTTAGTGTTACCTATAACGATTGTGATGTCGAGTAATAGATTTGAAAAAATATCTCACTAGCCTTTAGAACATGTAAAAGTATGAATGTGACATTGATATTTTTTTACCAGCTTGTAACCTTCTGGATCTGTTTGTTGATCTGGTAATGATGTATCGAGAAATTTGTCGATGAATTCTGTAATTTTTTGTCTTCCTTCTATTGTATCAACAGAAGGAAAGTTATCAAGCCAAAGGAGAGTGTGAAGATGAGGAAGACCACCACGTTGAAATTCAATTTTAAAGAAGTAATTAGTTACGATGTAATCGATGAAGAAAGGATGTTTTTTATCACTAATAAATTTTTCAAATGCTAACATTCGTCGATGACACATACGTGATACAAGTGCACTGTTTTCATTTACTAGTTGTAAATAATCATCGTCAGATAGCGAATCGATTACTTCATAATTGGGTTCGTTGACATTGCCAAATCGAGTTGGATCAATGTGTGTTAAAAATTCCACATCATCTTGTAAGTTTACACTCAAAAAAATATTAGGTTTTGATAGTGTTGCATACATAGATCGTAAAATTTTACGAGGTACAGACCAAAACGCTGCTGTACCACGGATAGCTTTACCAATGGCTAAAAGTAAATTAACTTATTATAGATTTTAAACTTTCTTTTTTAAAGCTTTCTCTATTATAGTTAATATTTGTTTTAAAGCTAAGAAGTTTTATCATTTATTTATATAAAAAGATGCCTTTGCAATTGTGAGAAATAAAATGGCGGTGCAACTTTGAATTATATAAGAGTTAATGTACCGATATTCTTACATGGATATATGTTATAACATAATCGATCTTTGTTGAATTGTTTTTTTGCATGGTAATTCACAGCTGTGCAAAGATCATCTCTTTGGATCAAATTCATTGCTCGAAATATCCAAATCGAATCTCCTTGCCATCTTTTGTCAGCACACATTAGTCGAAGTTTACAATAATCACGAAGTTTTAATGAAATAGGTCTTTTCATATCAAGTTCTCCTCCTTCACCTGTAGGATAAATCCATGGAAATGTACATTCTTCCATTCCTGCTTCAATCTTCCAAATCGGATTGTCACCTGCTTTGAGAGTACGACTTTTTTTAAAATAGAATAAATATTCGATCATAATCTATTAGTTAATGATTGTATACCTAGGACCGAAAAAGTCTTCATTTGAATCAAGAATAATGGGAGCAGATGTTGTACAATTATTATAAGCATACGAATCAATAATTCGAATAGCAGCTACATCTTCTTTTCTACATCGAAACATTTCTTCAATTTTTTCCAAAGGTAAAACTTGTTTGTTCATATATCCAGTATGATGTTGAATAAGATATTGAATAGCTTTAAGAATTTGAATAGCACTTACTGAATATCGTACTGTTGATTTTATTTCACCGCTATCATCAGTCGGTTTCTGTTGAATAACGGCCATAAATTCATAACATTTTGGCAGTGGTAATAGATCGCCTATGTTATCAGCAACATCAGCTTGACAATGTACTACTTGTCCTTTCATAGCTGACTGATGACCACGAATAATCAATATACTCATATAGCAGTGCATAAGTGCTATAGCTCTTTGTTCGAGAAAGCCAAGTGTTAAACATATGGGTGCTGTAGGAATTTCCATCATGTTTCGAAAACGTGAATGTGGACAAAATACGATATGATTTTTTGGAATAAAATTATGACAAAATGAACATATTAAATCACCCACGACACAATCATGATATTCTTCATGTTCTTCTTTTGCTGAATGCATATTAGAATATGGATGTTCACAACTACAGCATTTGCAAGAATACCATGGTTGCTGAATTTCAGATAAATATCTATGATAGAATTTTTTAGTTGATAAAGTAAATGCTAATTGTAATCGTTATACCTATCACTTAGAAAAGTATGTAGAATCGTTGCATCAAGTATTTCTTCATTCGAGTATGTTTCAAGACTTGGTAAAACATTACCGTCATCAGTT